TCCCTCCTCTCTCACCCACAGAGGATGAGATACTTCTGTAGACCTTTTCTCTACCTTCACATGAATGACTTGCTCTAAGGATGTTATTCCCAACAATTCATAGAATCTACAGGAATTATTTCCCTGGAATCAGTATCTGAAATAGTTGGTATTTTTTTTCTTCCTTTTTAGAGAGAGATTTTTGTTATAGGGTGTGTGTACTTGCCAGAGTGACAGAGAGAGACAGAGAGACAGAAAGTGAGAAATCACCCCCCCAGGGGTGATGGTCACACCGCAATCCCTTCTTCATTCTTCGCTTGGAATTTTGGGCATGCACACACACACACGTGCCAGCATGAGTTTTAAGCCACCGGGTCCAGGACTCAAACTGTGGTCAACTACATGGGAGTCCAGAGACATAACCATTAGGCCATCTGCTGGTCCCTAATTGGGATTCTTCTGAGGGTGAAAAGAAATCCGTGATCTCAGGAGGCTGTGACTCTGACTACAGATGCACTGGAGTCAACTCTAACAAAGAAGCCTGCCTGCTCTCCCAGTCTTATCAGTTTCCTGCTGTGGTTTTTCCTCTGTCTCATTTTCTCACACACTCTCTTTTTTAAGAGGGCTTGCCATGTGCTCACTGGAGAGAGAGAGACAGAGACAGTGAGAAGGAAAGTGAGAAATCATTCCCAAGAGTGATGGCCATGCCACAGTCCCTTCTCCTCCAGGCTCCTCTGAGGATCTTGGACATGCATACACATGCGTGCCCAATGAGATTTTTTTTTCCAATATGATTTTTTTTTTAAGAATCACTTTATTTAGCTTTATTTATTTACTTATTTTTAATTTGGCCAGAGAGGGACAGAGCAAGAGAGAGAGAGAAATTGACAAAGCAAACTGCCAGGTCCAGGACTTAAACCATGGTCAGCCATGTGGGAGTCCAGCACCCTCAACCATCACGTCACCTGCCAGCTTCCCTCAGTGTGATTTTCAAGTCACCAGGTCTGGGACTTGAACTACGGTCAGCCATGTGGGAGCCCAGTAACATAACTGCTATGCCATCTGCTGGCCCTCTCACTCTCTTTTTAAAATGTTCTATTTATTTTGTGTTATAGCTCATTTAACTTTTCTCTGGAACCAAATTAGGGAATTAAATAAGTAAGTGGAATAGCATGTTTTTCTTTTTTCTTTCTTTTTTTAAAGAGAGGTTTTTGTTATAAGGCACGTGCACTCACCAGAGAGACAGAGACAGAAAGTGAGAAATCACCCCCCAGGGGGGATGACCACAGCACAATCCCTTCTTCTCCAGTCTCCTCTTGGGATTTTGGCACACATGTGCACCTGCCTGGCATGAGTTTTAAGCCACTGGATCTGGGACTTGAACTGTGACCAACTACCTGGGAGTCCAGCAACATAACCATTATGCCACCTGCTGGTCGCTCATGAGTTTCTTTATGAGGAGCATTATGGGACTCTGGGTGCTAGAGGATAAGGAGGGCATGTCTGGGGCTTCCCCTTCTTTCTTTACTTTCCTTGAAATGAACCATAGCACTTTGGGGATGGTGGGCTATAGGATGCCTGGCAGCGTATCTCCCAGCCTCCCTTTCTGCCCTTCCCTCACCCTTTTTTTCAAGAGATAGTGCCCAAGAATGCCCAAAACCCACCAAGTTCTCGGTCTTCTCACCCTATGTTATTATTCAAACACCATTCATTCAGTTTTCAATAGTAATTCATTCAGTATTCATTTCTTAAGTGGCTATTATGGGCCAGAAGGTCTACCAGGACCCTGGGAGGCCCATTTCCATGCAGCCTCCACCCCGTAATGACTCTACATGTGTGTCCATAGAATGTCCTATCCCACAATCACCTACCAAGCATAGGTTGACATATTTTATGCATCTTCTCCTTGAGCCCACAAATCTTACAGAGGTTTTCAAAGAGTCGTGTACTTGCAGTGTGTCCTAATAAATGGCCACGGGTATAGTTCTGTGTTAGCAGCACATTTGTGTGCTTGTAGGAAACGCAGAAACCCAGCATATGTCTTTAAAGAGTAGATACAGAGCACTATTTCCTTTATAGTCTATTTCAGACCTGGAGTTTGATTCTAATCCAAATGCATCCCCAAGGCCAGGTGAGCCCACACCAGACACGCAGGGCACACATGTCTCAAATCCACTCTGGCATCTTGCTGCCTGGGAGGGAGGGGGAGGAGAAGATTGTGGCTGGGCCAGTGTCCAGGACTCCCCAGGTCACCCCGTCGGGCCAGATTGGCCAGCCCCAGGTTGCCAATCCCTTCTGCTGTCCTTCCCTCTGCCACAGCATTCCTCCTCCTTCTTAGTCATGGATAATTCCCCTACTCCTTTGGCAAGTTGCCAGGCCATTGCTGTTCTTTGTGAAGGACTGTGGTCTAGGTCTATAGTAGGACAAGGGTCGAAGCCACCCTAACTTCTTGTTAGAGGCCAGGTCTAGGAGTAAGGTTGAGGGGGGATAGGAGTAATTAGGAGAGGAGATATGGATGACAGCTTGTGTTCTGGGTGTGGGCATACCCGTACCCCCATTTCTGTGCCACTTAGCTTCAGTGGACCCACGCACGTGTACACACACACAGGATGGCTACCTCTGGAGGGTAATTTGCACCTACATTTGTTCCTTGAGGAGGTAGGGAACATAAAGGGGGATGAATACTTTGTAGCCCTTTCCAGCTCTTCCCCCCCCCCAATTTTAACAGCTTGATAGAGATTCTGGGCCTAGATAGAATAAATATCTTCGGGAGGGAATGGAAGAGAGAAGAGCTTAGATCCACTTTAGGCTCCACTTTATCACACTTCAAATATAGAAATACAAATTTACAGAAAGGAAAAATGGGAATCACATATAATGAGCACTTTACAAACAAACCACTTAATCATCACAAAAGCTCCATGGAGTAAGAAATTGGAGACCCACTTCACAGATGAGGAAACATCTAGAAAGGTTAAATAACTTGCCTAAGGCTATACTTCTAATCTGCGGTGGGGCAGAGAGGTGATCCCAGCCCCACCTGGGGGCTGGCTCCATGGCCTAGCAGTTAAGGAAACCAGATTCCATATGGTTGTCTATGGTTTGCATCCCAGCCCCAGTGGCACGAGAAATAGGCCATGTGCATGTATGCCTGACTAGGATAGAGAAGTGAGGGAGAAGGTATTATGTCATGACCATGCCCCATTGGGGAATGTGCTCTCTCTCTTTCTCACTGGTGAACACACATGCCCTATGAAAAAAGAAAGATAATTTAGGAAAAGAACGTTCATTTTACAAAAGCATTCACTAAGATGCTTTGAAGAAAGATCTTCCTCTAGCTTTTCAAATAGGGTGTGATGTGTGATCTCAATCTGGCTAGTGTCTGTTCCTGCAAGAATTCCCTGTAGCAACGGCCATGTATAGAACACAGTGGCTCACACCAGACACATGCTGAGGAACAGGAGCACATAGAAGGTCCTTAGGAGCTGTGT